TTGATAAGTACATCTATACACAGGGTATTGATATGTACATCTATACACAGGGTATTGATAAGTACATCTATACACAGGGTATTGATAAGTACATCTATACACTGGGTATTGATAAGTACATCTATACACTGGGTATTGATAAGTACATCTACACACAGGGTATTGATAAGTACATCTATACACAGGGTATTGATAAGTACATCTAAACACAGGGTATTGATAAGTACATCTAAACAGAGATTTCCCATTTAAATGATACTTCTTGTTAGAATGAACTGAGTATTCACTTTGTCCAGTCGTATAGGTAGTACCTTCTCCACTTTCAGTGCTGATCAATACACCTCCCTCCTTCTTTTGTTTCCGCTGTTTGACCTTAGCAAGTCGAGCATCAAGCATAGCCTTGCGCTTCTCCTTGAGTCTCTCTCTCCGTGATCGCTCGTCAAGTGTCTGTCAGTTTTTAAACACAGAAATATCAAACCAGAGAAATATACACAGAGTAGGAATTTTATTCATAGGGGTACGAGGTCAGATTGTCGGACCAGTCTGATAATATAAAGTAACCTTACAGTGTTTTTAGGGAGTTAACACTAGTCAATGGGGCAGCAGTCCTCACCAAAGTCTTATCATCACATCTTAGCTTCAATGATTTACTTTAAACACAGCAGGGACCAAATAAAAATGACAAAAGGATAATAATTAATTATAGTCAAATAATATAAAAATTATATCAATAAAAAATGAATCGTATTCGTGTACTAATTGTGTAGATACTACAATGCTGATTGTGTATAATTAAGGTAATTACAACAAATCAATGGAAGTCTATGTGTTTCACACAATCCAGACAAGTTTGACTTAAGGATGTACACCTCTGAGAAGTCAAAAAATTCCTGTATTAAACTTTTTTTCTTATATTGATTTTTGGAAAAATGAGATAATGGCATAGTAGAAAATGCAAAAAAAACTATATGTCGGTGTGTTCGTTTTTGTGCTATGATCGGTCAAAGATACCAATTTAACACAATATGTGATTTTAGGTGAATTTTCGGGTTTTGACCATTTGCAGAACAAATTTATACAATTATTATTTTCTTTGAAACTATGGAAGTAAAATGTCTTAAACTTATTCATTTTACTCAAAAATGCGATTTTAGTTACCCCTACCCCTTATTTTTTAATGAAAAAATGCACATTTTTCACCATTTTTTGCCGATTAAACGCTTGATATAAAAAAATCCTGTAATAAACTTTTTTTAGTATTCAATGAATC